ATTCAGCCGCTGTTGAAACTGATCAGTTTCAGCAGCGGCTGAATCTGGACGCCAGTTCCGACTTACATACAGATTCAACTTAAGAACAAACCTACAGTCCCTATCTTGTACGTAACCCGTAAACCTAAAAGCCATTAAATAATTTTATCTTATATCTACTTGTTTAAATGTGAATTGGAGGGGGAAGGGAGGGAGGAAGAGAGAGAGAAAGAATCCTGATTAATTTAAAATAATTTTGTAAAAAAATAAAGCAACTGCACCATATCAAGAGTTGTCATCAAAGGCCAAAAAAGGCCTTCAATATGAATTGATCATCAAATTTATCCTCTGTCAAATAGTACTCTCAAGGAGATTGTTACCACACTCTTACAAATGGAAAAGGAAAAAGTGAAAAGAAATTTATCTTGTTGGTCACAATGAAATTAGCATAAAATTGACACTTAATGGTGTTAAGACATTCCTGATATGAAAAAGAAATAGCTGCTTTAAGTTAATTATATTAAACAGTAATTTTAGATGCCATGCATTTTTCCCGATTTAAAATCCACAGGTATGGTATCTGTGTTTATGAAGAAGACACTCATTATTATTTTAAGGGTTTTTAATCTGAGATTTGCTATTACTGCAGAAATCTATCATGGTAATTTCCAGTCAGAGAAAGTTTTAAGTTATCAGTACCGCACAGAGATTTGCTCCATCTGAATGCTAGAGAATACTGTTCCTATAAGTAATGCTGAGTCATTTAACTGCTGATAGGAAGGTGGTAAAATAAATAGGAGAGGAACAAATCTGAATCTAACAAGTATAGTAAATCAACAAAATTTATCACAGTATACCAACTCACAAGATACAAGAATTAAGGCTCTTTTTATTTCTGTTTGTATTCTATCTAGTCCATGGAAGAGAAGCTTTTGCAAGGAAAACTGACAGTGCAGAAGATGACAAATGAGATTGAAGAAAAAGAAAGGCATATACAGCAGTTAAATAAAGCTCTGCTTGAAGTAAGTTATTAGAAACCACTTATAAAAATATTTCTAGTACAGTAGGGCCTTTAGATCTGAGTCAGGACCCTGTTGTGCTAGGTGCTGTGCCAGGCATATGGTAAAGAGACAGTCCCTGTCTTGAAGAGCTTACTGTTTAGGTAATGACAAGAAATGATGAATGAAAGAAACAGACACATGGGTGGGAATTTACTATCATTCACACTGAATTGAAAGAAATATTAAAAGTAAAGCATCTATATGAACGCTTCCAAGCTGGAGCACCCACGAAATCTGCTAGTTAATAAATGCACCACTTATCTAAGTCCATTAAGTTAGTTTAATTCATTTTGTTCATTGTCTGAAACAGAAAACATACTGCTTTTTTGTAGGATGACTGTTTTGAGAATTCTACAACAGTTGTGGGCTAGTATTAGGTGAAGAAAATGACACAGCCCTTTTTCTTCTTTATTTTCACAAAGAACCAAAGACTAATGGAAGAAAATGCCTTTTTGAGGGAGCAGATACACCAGATGGAACAGTCCAGACAGCCAATGTCTGAAAAAATGCCAGTGGCTGACCAGTTGTTCAAAGAAATGTCCCATTGTTTATTTGACTTGAAAGCACTATGCAGCATTCTTACCCAGAGAGCTCAGGGCAAGGAGCCTAACCTGTCCTTACTGCTGGGAATCAGATGTAAGTGATATTATCATGCAATATTTATATTGTACTTTTGACATTGAGAAACCACAGTCTATAGCAATGGAATCTAGTTTGGGTTTGCGGAGACCTGTATTTTCTAGTCAGCATGTAAAAACTAAACACCTTGTCTATATTTTTCAAGTGTTCTTAAAGTTACTATGCCAAGCTATTAAGTATTTCCTGCTAATGTCCCTGTGGTTATAGAACATACAAGAGGGGCAGTTGTCAGCCTGCTAAAATGTTGTACTGCTTCTTACCACAAAGATCCCAAAGCTCTTTTCAAATGTATATGCTATGACCAAATCCTCCTTAGGAACCACCACTTGTTGGAGTTAGAGAGCCATCTTCTCTAAGGTAAAATGTAGCAGCTATTTCATAGTATACTACACACCCAACAGATTAGGCCCAGAAGTGGAGAAAATATTATATACTGTAACATATCGCCAGTTTAGTGGCATTAATATACATAATTTTACAGTGTTATGTGATTTTGAATAAGTGTAAGTAGTCAAGACTCCATGTTTACATCATATCCATAAGGGATACCTTCAGCAACACAGGTTTATTAGTAAAACAGGAGGAAATGCCACCTATGAACTTGCCAGCCACACTTGCAAAAAGGTGTTGCACTGAGATCTCCATCTGACAACTTGATTGTGTGAGATCCAGTAAGATCACAAGTGAGATGGTATAAATGAAAGAAGAATACTGTAGTACCACACTAGAGATTTATGAATTAGTGTATTGGGACAGAAAATCAATAATACATGTGTAGTTCTGATTTCTGCTACAGTATGCAGCATTGGAAGGGGTTGGCTGAATGGTGGTTTACTCAATGAGATCCCAGCGGAGAGTAACCTGAACCTCGTTTGAGATGCATACTCCTGCTGGCCCAGATTACAGAAACAAACACATCTTTCCTGTATTTCCCTCCATCCGGATACCTAGACCTGTTCCCACCTGCTTTAGAGCTGTGCTCTCTACCACCAGGGTTGTGGAGAGAAAGTTGTGCTGCTACAGCTGCTCCATCTCACCCCATACTTTTTCTGTTGGCAGGAGCCTGCAAACGGTCAATCTGGCCTTTGGGCTTTTCTATTGCCACTTTGGAAGAGCTACAGTAGATTGAAAAATTGAATAATAGGTGGTTTTAATAGCATTAAATGCTTCATTATAATGAAAATCCAGTAAAATTGGGTGGTATCAAACTAAAAACCAAATGTGCCCTCTTGGAAGTGATTGAATGTGTAAGCTTTCATGTGATTATGCACCTTAGCTGTGTCTTTCTCCCCCACAGCTATGAGCTGTTCAGCTGAAGAGAATGAGAATTACCACAGCACAGAAACTCTCACCCAGAAGCTCACGGATGTGTGCCAGTTACGGAAGGATATTGATGAACTGAGGACTATAGTATCAGACCGTTATGCTCAGGACATGGGAGAGAACTGTATTACGCAATGATAAAATTTTGGTCTCACAGCAAAGACTATGTTATTAAAAGCTGCTGTGGTACAGATCTTTGTATTTCTATGAAGGATCCATATTGGAAGATTACATGTTGTATATGAGCTGCACAGGAGTCTCTCTTGGTGGGTCTGAGGGGTTGTGCATATTTAAATTTGGGAGATGATGGGGCAATCTTAATTTGAAGAGAGTGGTACACACCTCAAGAAAATCTATGCTCTCCAAACTACTGACTGTAGGACCAAGCTGTGAAGAATGTTCCCATTAGAGAGGTAGAATTTGTATTTCCTCCCTCGTGGCTCATTTAATAATCCATATGGTTATATTGTTTTCTGGAGTCAAAGCAAAGTCTCAAAGAAAGGCACTGTTGTTACTACTGTATGTACTTACTTTCTTTCATCAGAGGTCTGAGCTGTGCTTTCAGAATTGAAAGGCTGGAGTGACAGGTTCAAGCACCTAAAGGTGTAGAAAAATGAACAGTGCAGCCAGGTGCTTCTGGAAAAGACATGTTGGAAACTGTTATTGGGGTGGTTTTAGACCACTACAAAAGGTGCCTGCTATTTTTATAATTGCCTTGGGAATTAGGTAAGGGAAAGAAGGGGAGAGGGTTTCAGCAGCTGATCCCTGTTGATTTTTAGGGGTTTTATTTTCTCCAGCAGCAGTGAAGACACACTCTGTAAGTGAATACAGTCCCATCAGATTTAGATGTTAGCTTTACTCATATGTCCATCTTTTGACATGTTGCTAAAAAACTCTCCTTCAGTACTATGAAGGCTATGACAAAATCTCCCTCTTCCCCCCCAAACAAGCAGATGTAAGGTTCAAGATGGGCTTTGTCAGAAAAGTGACGCTGGAGACACATTATGGTGTCTGTACTGTAGTTATTTTCTGTCTACAAGCTCAGTTTTGATTGTGTTCAGCCATCATATCAAACACCCAATCCTCCAGACCTCCTGCAAGGTAATGAGCAAGGATTGTTAGCGACTTGCAGCATCTGGGCTTGATAGAACATTTTTGTCTACCTGCCTGTGCTACAAGCTCAGAATGAAAACTATCATTTGGTGTATTGTGCAGGACTTGTAGAGTCTTTGAGTCTGGCAGAAAAAGGTTACTTTTTTAAAATTACAGGAACACATTATCCAGTGCAAGATAACCACAGCAGGACAGATAGAACATTCACATTCCTGCAATCAGATACTTCAATCAGTACTTAGCTGGTAACTATATTTTATGTAAAACCAAGATACCTCTCTCTTATTAGAGATAAACCCAGCAATTAAGTTCTGCCTTTAAATGCTGACCTGTCCAAAATGGCTGTGAAAGCTGCATTTAAAAGTTGAAAAGTTTTGGAAGCAAATAACTGCACATACAAGCTGCAGCTAACAATACAATGCTGACAGTATTAAAAATCCTTTTGTTAATAAGCTTATGGGCCATGACAGAATAGATTGGGAAACAGCAAAATGTAGTGAAGGAGTTGCTATTTTCAGTTTTTCTGACATTAATATCTGTATTTCATTTTTGCCATTTTTAATAAGTGGAAAAAATTGCTTAAGGGTGATGCAGACTGACATTGATGATTTTAACTTTGAAATGTGTGTTAAAGAGTTAAATGTCACTTATTAACTAAGGGTATGTCTACACTTGCCCCCTAATTCGAACTAGGGAGGCAAATGAGGCATACCGAAGTGGCTAATGAAGCACAGAATTTAAATATCCCATGCGTGATTAGCATATTAGCATCCGGTCGCCCTTTTAAAATGCAGGTAGACCAAATTAACTCGCCATGTGTAAACGCAGTAGTCCAATCCAAAACCCTTCCCTCTAATTAACTGTTACTCCTCAAGCAAGTGCAGACATACCCCTCTTAGTCATTTGAAAATCTTTTGGTCAGTCTTTTCTAACTATTACATGGGTTTATTTTAATCAACAAGTCTTTCATGCTAAACTGTCTCTATACATGGCATAGTTTTTTCACCGATCTATTTTAGAATTTATATTAATGGTTCTCAGTGTTTTTCAAATGCAAATTATTTACATAGAGTGAAGCAAACTTTGGGAGCATTAAAAATAAATCATCCATCTTTAAAACTGAACAGCCTAATCTTTACATTTAAAAATACTCTAGGACTAAGATGTTATCTTTTAGCCCAGAACTTGGGTGGGGAGGGGGAGGGTATTTTTTTTAATGTCTAAAAATTAGGGTTCATAAAAGAATTATTGACACAACTTTAAAAAGGGACTTCCCCCTGAGGCAAAACTGAAAAGAAAGAATCTTTGTATAAGGATCTTTGCCTATAAGCTAGTGTTTGCTATTATGGACTATAGGTTTTGGTTTAGTAGTTTTAATAATGTCTTATTTTCATAAAGCTCACTGTCTTTTTGTTTGCTATAAACACAGGATTAGGACTTCACTGCAGGATCAAATTTCTCAAGTGTCAGACATTCGGTATCATGACTGTCTGAAGTAAACTAAGAGGCTGCGTCTAGACTGGCAAGTTTTTCCGCAAAAGCAGCTGCTTTTGCAGAAAAACTTGCCAGCTGTCTACACTGGCCGCTTGAATTTCTGCAAGAACACTGACGATCTCACATAAGATTGTTGGTGTTCTTGCGGAAATACTCTACTGCTCCCGTTCGGGCAAAAGCCCTCTTGCGCAAATGCTTTTGTGCAAGAGGGCCAGTGTAGACAACGCGGTATTGTTTTGCACAAAAAAGCCCCGATCGCGAAAATGGCGATCGGGGCTTTCTTGCACAAAACCGCGTCTAGATTGGCACGCATGTTTTTCCGCAAAAAGTGCTTTTGCAGAAAAGCATCCGTGCCAATCTAGATGTTCTTTTCCGCAAATGCTTTTAAATGGAAAAACTTTTCCATTAAAAGCATTTGCGGAAAATCATGCCAGTCTAGACGTAGCCAGAGTGTTTGGTGACTAAGCAGCATAATACATCAATAAGCAGAAGTGACAAAAAAAAAAAAAAAAATCAAAAAATCAGCCTGAGCAGGAAATGTATTCCTATTTTAAATTGTGTGTGCATATATTGGAGGGATGGAAATAGAGTGCAACAGCAGATTTTGTTTTATCTGTTCCAGGTCCTCCCTGCATGATGCTTAGCGGGTCACTTAATCTCTGTGCCTCAGTTTCCCTGATTTAAATGGGGATGCTACACGGGGGATTTGTGGTTAAAGAATTAATGTTTGTAAAGCACCTAGGGATCCTTGGAAAGAAGGTGTTACAATTTCAAAGTATCAGAAGGTTCTCCCAATATGAAAGTCTGTGTGGTTTTTTTTTTTATTTGTTGCACTATTGAGAATGACTATACTAATTCTGCAATTTTTTTATTTCAGTTATATATTCAAGCACCCATTGTATTTACATTAAGATATAGAGCACTTGATTATTAAAGGAACACACTGAGTTTATCTGCCTCAGTCAAATTAAAGCAGGGAGAGAAATGGCAGATCTAATGAGCCAAAGATACAATATATAGGTAGTGACTGCAGAGAATAAGTATTTTAAAAGTGGGCCTGCTGTTCTAGTAGCCATTGCTATATATGCATCAATTTATAGATGTCTCTAAACAGAATACTCTTTAAGTAAGATATGCATGATTGTTTAACTGGTTAAAAAGTAGAGCGTGTGTGATCTCATTCAACATATTTAATATGATATGGTTGATTAATGAATGTTAACAGTGGCATTACTTAAACTGATTTAGTCATGACAACTTTTTGCCATAACTTAGAGACAATCTCAAGGGCTGAAAATTTTTTCTAATGAATGGACAAGACCATTCTGTCTTCTATTCGTGAACTTACAGAGAAACACGTACAGTAATTTTGTATAGTTTGTCTAATTTCTACAATTTATTAAGTGATACTTACAGTAAATAACTACTGTATTCAAGAATGTATTTAAAAATGGCTTGGAAAGAAGCTGTTTTTAGGCAAGCTGTTGGTAATGCTATATATTTACTGTATATGAGTCATTCACCTCAATTGTGAAAACTTAGATTCTGAGCCTCAGCTGTGTAGGTTTATCGTGGTGTAGTTCTGTAAAATTTATTTAGGTTGCTATAACCACCAACTCAGGCGACACTTTAAAAACTGCCAATAGATATAGCTGTAAGAGCCAAAGTTATTTTGCTCAGCTCATTTCTGAAGATTTCTATCCACTTATCCTTAGAGGAAAAAAATAATCCCATTTGCTGTTTTAAAGACAAGAGGGTACAAGGAAGGATGGTTCTTCCTCCATACCTACCCAACACCTGAATTTTGCCCTCATTAATGTCCATGTAATCTAAGTGACATAAGTGGGACTGCGAGATACCCGGAGTTAGAATTTGGGTCTTAATTGGTACAACAGGAAATATTTAAATTGTTTGACTCAATCAACCAGTATTTTTGAAAATATGAAAATAAAGCAGTGGCTACTGAAGGTTATTTAAACAGATTTTATATGATTAGCTCATTAGCAGTATTAATTCCACTGCTGCATACCTTTGTGCCTTTTTTTTGCCGAATGTATATAGTCCCGACAAATTTTAGTTGAGCTAGAAGAATGTCAATAATTAATGCACCTTGTTTCCTATAAATACAGATCTTTTGTTTTTAGGCTTTGAGAGTAAGGAGACTCTTACATAATATCTAGAAATATATACTAAACGCTATAGGTACTAGACATAGATTTTTGTAAGTTAGATGATTTTAGTAATTCATTATTTCTGTTCACAAATAGTGGGCAGGAAATTCAATCGGAATGATAATTGTGTACATATTAACTATACTATATTATAGGTAATCAGTGGGGAGAAGGGGCTGGGGCTACTTTTAAAAGCACAGCTGACAAATATACTGGATCAGTCCCCAAAGGCTGGTAGTTATGTAAATTGGGTTCTATTTTTGGACCGCTATGAATACCTCATGTGTACATAGAGTTGTCATGACTTAATCAAAGTGCATTCAGTGTAAAAAGTTAAAGGAGCCACTGGGTGGCTCTCTGTTAGCTCTGTGGTTATTGCCTCTTTTTTGTAATTTTTATAGTAGGGTTTACAGCTAGAATTTTGAATGCCAAAGTTCTATTTATTAAATAATAAGTTTTCAGTGTTAATGGCTAGTATTTTTCCACTGGAATTTTGTTTGTTGATGTTTGGGATTTGTATCGACAGAGCATAAATAAATTTTGTTACAAAATTACTACTTTTAATCATTATTTATATTGTGGTAATATCCAGTTAAGATTGGTGCCTCGCTGTTCTAGGCACTCCCCTGAAAGGAGCAAGATATGCTCCCTCCACTGAAAGGAAATAATCATTAAAGGTCGAAGTAGAGAAAAGGTACTAGTAAATACCAGCTGTGATACATACCTAGACAGATGAAGGGAAATTGGTCACTTGTAATACTTTTTATATAGTTCTCATTTCTCCCATGGTACATCCAGAAACAGCCTAAAATCAGAAGATTGACAATTATTCCGCCAGCTGCCTAGTAGATGGAATCAAAGATACCAAGT